ATACATATATACACATACATATATACACATACATATATACACATACACACATATATATATTTATTTATTATGTGTAGTTTTGAGTTAAGTCTTTACCCTCTCGTCTGCAGCGGTTCAAACACTCGTCCATGGTGCTGTAGCGGTTCTGGTTTCCACGACAACCTCCATAGATGAATGACTGACAGGTGTCAATGTTTGTGTCGTAGTAGAACATGGGGAAGGCAGCCCGGCAGGGTCCGGGGTCAGAGGTCACCATACAGTCATCTTCAGACAGACATCATTTAATTTGACATGTTTACTACTCCTGAACACCTGATAATCTACTGCTGTTCTTTATAACTTTGTACCTTTGTATTCTGTTGAAACTTCATCATCAGCAGCAACTTTCTTGGAGGAGGGAAGCACTCCGACTGCAGGAGAAGAGACAACTTTCATTCAATCCATGTATTTGTAGAGCCCACTAGACTTTAATTACATTAATGGTAAACACTTTACACTGACATAGTCACAGACAGACGCATTAATGACCCGTACAGGTACAGACGGGTGCTTCACTTCTGCAGGACTGCTTTGAAAGCACGGACTGGGAAGTGTTTGCACAGGGAGCTGACCTGGAGGAGTACACCTCAGCTGTCCTGGCCTACCTACACTTTTGCACTGAGACAGTAACGAACACCAAAACCATCAAAGTGTTCCCAAATCAAAAACCCTGGCTGGACAGAAACGTCCGGTCACTGCTCGGAGCAGTCATTACGCACCGAGTCCGACAGGCATGGGGCAGGTGGGGTTGGCCGTGCAGGCCTGGAGGTGAAGGGACAGAGGTTGTCCAAAGAAGAGGAAAGGGTGGAGAGGGGAAGATCAGTAGCAATATCAGGGGATAGGAGACAGAAGGCTTCAGGGTCAGGGAGAGCAGAGGTAACAGAAGATGAAAGATCAGCTGGGGAGAGGGAGCGGAGATGACTACGGGTAGAAACCATGTGGGTAGGTGGTGGAAGTACGGGGGGAGAGGAGAGGGAGAGGGAGTAAGACATGAAATAGTGGTCAGAGAGCTGGAGGGGAGTGACGGAGAGGTTAGCAATAGAACAGTGTCTAGTGAAGATAAGATCCAGCTGGTTGCCGGCCTTGTGGGTAGGAGGAGAAGAGGCGGGGTAAAGGTCAAAAGAGGAGAGGAAGGAAAGAAGCGGTTCTAATTTATCAGTCTGGATGTTAAAGTCTCCGAGCAGGATGAGTGCGGAGCCATCATCATGGAAGTGTGAGACTAATGTGCCGAGATCTTCCAAGAACTCACCAAGAGGGCGATACACAACAGCAATGGTGAGCTTGACTGGATAAGTGACAGTAACCGCATGAAATGCGAAAGAGGACGGGGAGAACTGAGGAACCGGGACAAGAGTGCATTTCCATTTTGGGGAAATTAGCAAGCCAGTACCACCACCCCGCCTCGCAGCTCTGGGAGTGTGAGAGAAAGAGTACACTTCTGACAGAGCTGCAGGTGTGGTGGTATTTTCTGGCGTGATCCAGGTCTCAGTTAGAGCAAGAAAGCTGAGAGAGAGCAAGGAAGCGCAGCCCGAGATAAACTCAGCTTTTGGCACTGCCGACTGGCAATTCCAGAGCCCCCCCCCGGTACCACTTGCTCAACATGAGCTGAGAGAGTAGGATAAATGAGGTTAGCGGGGTCACGGCACCTGGGAGTGGCCCAATGTCGACGTGACCACCGAGCAGAAGAGAGGACCGAAATAGGATGCAAACACATGGTTTGAACAATAAAAATGAGGTAACTACACGTTCGAGAAGTCTGGCTTGAAAAAGTCGCCTTGTTGCCTTTGTTCGCCCTAGCCTTCCTTTGCCAGACGCTTGAAAGCTGACGCTTCCAGCCTACAGAAGTGCTTAAGGACAGCAATCTACTGATTGTCTGCCAGGAGTGTAGGCTCCTCCCTTGCAATTAGCAAAGCTATTCAGCAGCTGAGACTAAATCACACCTCCTCAGACAGGCAGAAACTCAGTCCAATCACCACTGAGGCAAGCCTAAGTACAGCTATAAAGACAACTTAGTTCAAGCAAGAATAAAATACCTATCAGATTCGGGTGAGTCAGAAGTTCAGTTCTTGCTCCAGAAGTTGAAAACAGTCTGGACCTCACTTGGTGCCTGAACACATCACACCTGGTGACGAAAGCCCAGCAGAGACTCTTCTTCCTGAGGAAGCTCAAACAAGTTGCCTGTTCCCTGGACTTCTGGTTAACTTTTACAGAAGCATGATTGAAAGCATCCTGTGTCAGTGCTTTACTGTGTGGTATGCCAACTGCACAGCAGAGAACTGGAGCAACCTGGCCCAGGTGGTTAGAACAGCACAGAGGATTGTGGGAGTCACCCTGCCTGACCTGGACACTGTGTACGCTGGCCGCCTCCAGAAGAAGGCCAGCAACATCTGTACAGACTTCACACACCCGGGTCACTCTCCGTTTGTTCCACTGCCATTAGGAAGGAGATACAGGACCATCAAAACCTGGACTAACAGGCTGAGGAACAGCTTCTTCCCCAGAGCGGTTTCCTCCATCACCCCCCCACCCCCACCCACCGGACAGTGCTGCGGTGAAACACAAATAGACAATAACAAGACACTTTAACAAAGCACCTTTTTCACTTTGAAGCCATTGATGCCTGTGTTTTATCTTATATATATTTATTTAATGTCTTGTTTTAAATCGTCTTGTCTTAATGTTTTTATACACTTTTTAACTGTTGCTGCTGTACTGACTGATGAGTCGCCAACTCAATTTCGTTGTATGTTTTTACAATGACAATAAACATCCTTATCCTTAATGACCCGTACAGGTACAGGCGGGTGCGTTAATGACCCGTACAGGTACAGGCGGGTGCGTTAATGACCCGTACAGGTACAGGCGGGTGCTTTAATGACCCGTACAGGTACATGCAGGTGTGTAGCTCACCTGTACATGCTACCGTGCAGCTTTCCTGGCTGACGTAGTTGTTCTTGTTTCCTCTGCAGCCTCCGTAGATAAATGTTTCACAGCCACCTTTGTCACTGTTGTAATACCAGCGCTGAAATGCTGCTCTGCAAGGACCCACCTTAGGCTCCACCTCACAGTGCTCTGATAGGACAAAACCACACAAACATGTTATTTTTGTCTTTATTTTTTATGTTTATCTTTCACTGACATCTGTTTCCATAAAGTTATGTTCGTCAAACTATGATGGTGAGTCTCCTTAACAGGAAATGTATTAATTTCTTTTGAAAATAAAAAGAATCATAAATGAAAGTTTTATAGCGCTTTATACGAACTCAAAGTCACTTCACACTAAGGATGAAACAAAAACCAACATGACTCAGACACAATGATGAATGGGGGGGGAGCTAAGAGAAAGCAGAGCTGTTGGTTTGGTTTAGAAATGTCTTTGAATCCTGTTTTATGTTCATTAGAAGACAAATGTACAGACAAGACAAACTGGATCTGCTTTCACTGATACGTTCATGTGCAGTCATTTAGTCAAAGAGCTGCTGCTGTAATAAACTGATGGAAACTCAATGATGAACAAAAAATTATAATAAACAGCGAAATGAAATGAAAAGTTTGTTCATGTGAGAAAATAGTTGAAACATACCAGCGAAGTCAGCAATTTCTGTAGGAGAGAAGAAGTAGTTACTGAGTCATGCACAACACATAAAACGTGCGCACACAAACACACACACACACACGGGGTCAACTCTGTGGCAGCAGGTTCAGCATCCTGAGAACACATCTGGACAGACAGAATCATAGAGGATATATTCATCAGAGGAGTGAACCCGAATACTACCAGTAAATCAATTATTACTACGGTAAATAAATATATATAAATAAATATATATACACATATACACATATATATATATACACATATACACATATACATATATATATACACATATACATATATATATACACATATACATATATATATACATATATATATACATATATATACACATATATATACACACATATATACACACATATATATACACATATATATACACATACACATATATATACACATACACATATATATACATACACATACACATATATATACATACACATATATATACACACACATATATATACACACACATATATATACATACACATATATATACATACACATACACATATATACATACATATATATATACATATATA